AACGAGTACACGGGTTGATCGATTCCTCTCAACGGGGAGAGGATGTAACGAAAGCGACAGTCGTGCACGACCTATGCGTCCACACATAAAAAATATATATACACATATGATGAATCTACAAAATATACTACACATGTATATCGGTCCCTCTAATGTTAGCGCAAAGGGCTGCCGCTGAGTTAAAGAGGCTTTCGGCATAGATCAGGGCTCGATAGAAATCTTCGATAAGTAGCTAACGTAATGTTTTTTGGTGTTATTTGTTTCGCCGCGATATCCTTTAAGATTTAACCGCATCAATGAGATCATTTTATGCCATGGTGGGGATTTGATGTTGACGACGGAAAATCTCTCTTGAGCTCAATAACTCAGTGGCCTCTGTAGCGAATAGACGATAGATTGATTGTAAGCGAGAATTCAGTGACCGATAGACAAGCATATATTAAAGGCATACGACTCAGGAATAATACCCTAGGCGTTGTCGTGTGCAGTAATTTTGGTAGCCGACTCAGGGAGAGCCCCCCAGGCGATGTCGAGCTGCGCGATAATTCACATAATAAAACGTACTTCGATGAACATATAGTGAGATTGAATAAACTTTTACGAATACGAAACTAAAAAAGTGGGTGTATATTATTTGCATCAAAACCTCACGACATTTTGGTGCCTCCTGTGAGGTCTGGACCTCCACGCAGAAAGAGATCAAGTATTTTTGCAAAATTGGATAACGAGGCATACCAGCGCATCCACAGTACACAACGGTGAGTCGTTCGTATCCTATCTTAACAACAAACCATGGCCGAAAGAAGCAAACTGCTTATTCAAAAACGAACATCCTTAAAATCCCAAATCACTAACTTGAGTAATCTTCTTGACAAAAATAAAATTAGTGGTGCCGCATTGAAATTACGGGGCGCGCGTTTAACTGAATTATATCAGGCCTACGAAGAATATAATGACGAGCTCATACTGTTAGAACCTAATGAAACGCACGGAGATGAATTCGCGATTATTCAAGAACGTTTCTATGCTCTCGCGGGTAAAATACCCTAGGCGTTGTCGTATGCAGTAATTTTGGTAGCCGACTCAGGGAGAGCCCCCCAGGCGATGTCGAGCTGCGCGATAATTCACATAATAAAACGTACTTCGATGAACATATAGTGAGATTGAATAAACTTTTACGAATACGAAACTTAAAAAGTGGGTGTATATTATTTGCTTCGAAACTTCACGACAATTTTCTTATTAAATATTACTATAGCAAAATCGTAATTACGTACCAGACAGGAGTCAAATTTAAATAAAATTGGCGTAAACTTTATTATATGATTGATATTTACACCGGCGCAATCCCAAATTAAAATATTGTTAGTAACTATATCTTCTTCTATGCGCACTTCTATTGTCATTAAGCGATACCTGTGACATTAGCATATAACGTACATTTTTTCTGCTTTCGGAAAAAGTCGAAAGAAAATTTTTCTATTTATTCCGATTTTTCAACATCTTTAGCTTACTCTTACAACATGCGATCTACTTGTGAGTAATTTTTTTCATGAATTAAGTTATAGACAATTGCAATGCTCGACAATTTAATCTTCTGAGAAATAATATTTGCGGGAAAAAATCGTATTTCTGCTTATTTACTGTGATAATGTAATTACTCGTATCTTCTCCGTAGTACGTTTACTCTACTTGATAGACTTGAATGTTAGGAATAGCAGATTGATAGCAAATTTGCTATTAATTTAGATCAGTGCAACTAACGTCGAGCTCTGATTTAGATACATAATCTGCCAATAATGCTAACATTTTACTTATTGGTACTAATTTGATACATTTACATATTCGGAATACAGTTACACATACGTACCGCACATCTACCCAAGCATCATATTTGGAGCCATCGTAATCTATTAGCCGGGATATATGTACTCTACATTTATCTGGCGTTAACACTGGTAAAGGGATGAATTGTCTGAAATAAATATTTATAAAAATATCATACGTGTTTGCAAGCATAGAAATAGATTTCAAATTATTGTGCAAACGTTTTTGCAATTCTTACAATTATTTGTTAATATTTGTTACTTTATACTATAAAATCAAAATTAAAATTTTTGAATAATATTTTCTACATTTAAAATATACAAGACAATATGTGGAGATTTAAAAATAACTTATAATTGACTTAATTGCTTACAAGTATGTGTTGTATAGTTTTATATCATCGCTAAGAGGATCAAGATTATCGTAAATTTCAGGAATAAGATTATGAAGAGTGTAAAGCATATCTAAACATTTTGTGGCTTTTTCGAAATCAAATTTGACGGTAGAAATGAAAAATTTTAATCGTTGGTCGGAGATATCTGTAAAATGTAAAATAATGCTCATCATTATGTAAGATTTATTCAATAAAAAAAATCGATAAAAAATTACAAATAAAATATTGTGGATTTTTTATTATTAATCATGGATATCATAATTATTAAACTGCTATATTTTTAGATTTTTAGATAATTAATATATTAATCGATGATAAAACTAATCGATTAAAATTTAAAAATACTCACCTTGAGGAAGATGAATTTGTTGTTTTAACCACAGCCGAAATTTACATAATAACTCTAACAAAAGATCTTCGTTTCCACCATTATCCTCCAGCACTTCTTGAAGTGTAGGCATTTCGAGCTTCATCACTTTTGTTATCACCGTTTCTTTATCAAATTGCTTGAGATTTGTGCAAACTAAAATTATTGCATATATTAGGCAATATTTTATATTGCAAATATAAAATATTTTAGATGCAAATATATTATATTCCGTCTCCTTTCCATCAAGCCGGAAACAGCGGAAGATAAATGCCAAGTAGTAAGTGTGGCAAATGAGTAAGGCGAGTGGCTAGAATATCGAAGATCTTTAAGACTTTTTGCAATTTTTTTCTTCTTTTTTTTGCATTTGTTTTTAACAGTGTATAATCAAGTAAATTATTAGATAATGCTTTTTTTGATTAAAACATATTATTTTATATTTATTTAAAATTTTCGCAATTACACGCCCACAAGAAACCCAATCGTATAAATCGGTACTTTGCATTTAATGTTTTTTTTAAATAAATATTCAAAAATGTGCAAAAATTTTTTTTTGAAAAAGACTCCAAAAGTGATAATTAATATAATTGTGATTGTGTATCATTGTAATTTTATGTAATACAGAAATAAATTTTATTGCAGAATTGTAAAATAATTTTTTGTTCTTCTATTGACAATAACAAATTAGTATTTTTTTCTAAAGTTATTGGTTTAAGGTTCTGCCCTGTTCTGTTGTATTCATGTGTTTCTGATTCTATTAAAACTTGTCTTTAATATTATTCATTCTATTAATACTTGATGTGATTGATTTTTGTATATTTTTGTACAAACTTCCTTAAATTTTTTTTGTCGGAAAAATAACGTTTCTCTTTCTGTTTGTCGGACTGACATTTTAACCAACGAGAAACGTTTTTCAGAACCGTTATAAAACGTTTCAAAGAAATATTTATGAAACATTTCTGAAACAAACATGTGCTATCTGGGAGGTATCAAAAGTCAAGAGCAACTACTTAGTATGATAAATAGATATACTGACGCAATAGCATAATTTTTCATGCATAGCTATTATACATATATTTTTATTATCATATTTACATATTAAACATTGTACAATTATTGGTTACGGAGATACAAAAATTTAAAGTAAAAAAAGCAAGTTTTCCATTAATCCTTGAACGCTCGGCAACGAAAAATCAGACAATTATTCGCCAACCACTCAACCTAAAAGAAAAGTTTTAAGCTTTCAAATGCTTCTAATGAAACTTTTCTCAGATTTTTTATGCGTTGTGTACGTTTCCAAAGTCAAGCAAAAAATTTTTATTTGGAGCTACAGATTTGGATCTTTAAAGATTTTGCTTTTCTTAGAAAGTTGATATGACTTTTTGTTACAAAGTTACAACCGTTTAAAAAATACCTTTTTTCCACTAAAGTCAAGTAATCCCTTAATTTTTTTGAAGAGTACAGTTTTTAATATTTACCCTAAAAAACTTTCAAGACGTATTTTACTTTTTAAATAATAAATTTTAGACTTAACAAGAATGTGATTCGACAAGAACGTGACTCGGCATTATATATTGGGGGCTTGATCGAATTAGTCCATAAGAGTAAAGGATCCTAAATTTATCGTGGACGTTCTGTTTCTACTAAACTAACTGAAAATATTCTGCGTGGAGTGTCGTCAAATTGCTTAGAAGAAACAGATATTTGCGCGCAAATATAAACTCTCCTCTCTCTCTCTCTGTTATCTAGTATCTATCACAATTACTATCTAGTCGTAAAAAAGACGTCAAGTACACATAGCAAACATTTTATTTAACAGAAGTTTTTGCTTCTCTAATTTTACTGCATGAAACGAGAAATCAAGCTATTTTACATAAACAGAGTTATTACTATACTAATGATAGAATTAATTATGCGAGATAAATATGTAAACAAATAACAAGCATCGTACATACATGATATCTGATAATAATTACGACAATGCTCGTAAGCTGGTAAAAGAGAGTAAACCGAACAGAAAAATTATTTGCGCATTAGATACTTATCGCATTAGGTATTCGATATAGCTATCTCGCTTCTACACGGAGAAAATTTTATATTAATTTGTAATACAATTTTTAATTACATTTTACTATTTTTGTATTATCGGTGGACCATCATGGGCTTTATAGAATAAATTATAATACAATAAAATTTGAAACTAACACTTAACTACCCCAGGTAAGGTTTGCCGACTCTTGCCCTATACTGACTCTTGGGCCGACATTGGCGGCATCATGGCAAGCCGACTGTTATGAACCGATCGCGGCGCGACATCGGTCCAAATAACCTTAGTCGACTCTTGCTTGATGATGACCCTCGGACTAATGTGGAGCCAACGTTGTAGATATGTTGGCAAACCGACTTTCAATCCAATCGCGGCACGACGTTGGCCCAAACAACGTTAGCCAACTCTGTTCGATGACGACTTTAACGTTGAGCCAATGTTGTGAATATGTCGGCAATTAACTGTTAGATCATGGCGTGAGTCTTAAGTATAGGAACATATCATTAATCACAAATCGCGCCCTAATAATAGCGTTGATAGTACGCACCTCGAATACAGCCTGTACGTACACTGAGAAAAAAATGTACTAAATTTATTAAATATTTATTTGAATAGTACTAATAACATATTTACTAAATGTAAATATATATTTATTTAGTATAAGAACCAGTAATTTAATTTAAGTATTTTTTTTTTATTATTGTGTAAATATTTATTCACCGTAAATAAATATGTTATTAGTACTATTCAAATAAATATTTATTAAAATTTAGTACATTTTCTCTCAGTGTATAAGATTCTATGATAAATTAATATATGTAATACTACTCTATTGCCAACACAGCGGAGAAAATTGATAAAAACATTACAGTGCAAACGATAACTACCTCTCACTTAAATAGTGTACTCTTTTACATACAGGGTGTTTCCGCAACATACAGATCAGTAAGTAGGGTTGCCTATTTATTTATCGGCAGGGACATGCTTTACCGGCCGTACAGAATAAGGTTAGATCGCAAGTCCGGCGAAAAATAAGGCAAAAGAAATTTGAGTTATACCATTCTGGTATAGGATTCCAGATACCATCCAGGATACCATTCTGGTATAGGATACTGGTGTAAGATTCAATAATATATATATAATAAAATATATATACAATTATATATAATAATTTATTAATTATATATAATATAATAAAATATATATATATAATAAGAGTTGTTTAATAATAGAAATATTAATAACGACATAATAATAAAATTAGTAAACATTTAACGATTATTAAACAAATAACACAATTTACAAAATAAATATAAATAATATTTTTTAATAAATAAATAAATAATAAAAGTTATTAATAATAGGGTTATTAATAATTAACAATTAAAGATTAATAAATTAAATAATTTTTATTTAAATGCTTATAATAAATGTTCTATTAAATTACCATCTTCTTCTAAACATAACATAATTCTGCGCATG